CTTTCCCTCCTCTCTTCAACCACCGATTTCAAATGTTGACAACCTTTCTCTGACTTGCAACCTCGAAGATAATCTTCGCGGTGTCCGTTGATGATTGTGACAGGTTCTTCTGCTTTAGCCCCCTTGACCGAGTAGTCCTCAAGGTGATACTCTCTCAACGTCTACTGTCTCCTTTTCGTTTCGATCCTGTTGTCCACAACGAGCTCCTCGTGTTTTACTCCCCACCTCCGATGGCTAATCATATGACCAGTCGGACGGTGTTACGACCGTGAACAGTAGCCCTGGCTGTTATATTTTTTCTCCCACGACAAGGAGCGCTTCGAACCATCATGCGTTCTCATCAACCAACCTTTCCCTATCTCAGTGTATCGTAACAATAGTATCAAATTATTTATCGATTTTTCTAGAAGCCGTTTTTTTCTCATATGTTATGTTAAAGTGGGGGTTCATTGAACTCTGACCCCATTTCCATTGTAGGAGTTTTTCACTGGTTCTTTCAAAGTTTGCAATATTTTCCAAAGATTGACTATTGATTTAAATGAAGAACCGTTGTGTATCGGGTGTGACATACCTCGCCCATCATGATACTTCTGTTCTTTATACAGCTGCTCACCAGATCTACAATCATCCACTTTGTATTTAATTATACCACACTACTACGTTTGCAATTATGAGATCTTCTGGTCCTTAAACATGTAAATGTATTTATATGTAAGCAAAAGCGTTAAAAATAGCTTAAATGGGCTTTCGACGAGGAAGTAACGGAAGCTGGGGAGAATGATAAATTGGACTGGAGCAAAACGTTTCTAAATAAGAAGACGTCAACAACCCTCCCCCTCCGCAATGACGACGTTAGCGGCTAGTAGGGTCATTAGACTTCACAATAATGATTCGCACTCACAAATTCGAGCTGCGGCCGCGAAAACGAATGTTTACTTTTCCGATTAAAAGTTAGTAGTCAATATCTCAGGGGACCCTAAACTTTAGGATACACGCGATAGGCGCTGAAGATAATGACATTTGCATTGAACCATCTAAATAAGTTGCTACTGTAAAAGGATTTCATAGTGGGGTTTCAAACTGCTGCTAGGCACACTACGCGTCTTTGAGTCACATAAAGCACCAACTTGCGTACATAGGTTTTGGAGAAAGCACTGACTGACAGTTAGGTAGTAATATTTATTTTCAAAGACTTCTACGGATACTATTTGCGGTAACACGGTGTTCTATTTTCGGAAGAAGCCATCATCTGGTACAATGAGCCAAAACTGCCTTCCACTTATATACCTCATTAGCTTTGATACTCCTGGTACGCATACGCTTGTCAGCAAGTACGCAGTTAGGTTAATTTGGTCATTAGAGGTAACCATGGGCAAAAAAAGATGCTGCCAAGCTGAATAAGAGGTGAACCCAAACTATTTTATTCTAACTAAAACAGTGTGTTAAGCTGTATTACAGCTATAATAGTTTGAGAAAAAGTGTTTAAATGAAACGAATGGAAGACTGTATATATGTTTTTGAGCTTAACGAAAAGTATGTGTAGAATATTGCCCTTGGGTCTCAAGTCTTCCGAGAATTATTATTTAGTTTACTACTATTTTCCTATCTCTTAGTACGCTTTCCTATATAAATCCTTTAAGCAGGTTTCAAAACTGACTTTAAGCTTGTTTATACAATTCACGAATCTAAAGATTTCATTAAACCTTCGGGAGCTTGATGCTTAATTTGAGTGGTTAATTTCAAATAATGCATTTTCCCGTAGAAAATGGGAAGAATTCAAAAAATACAAATGAAATAAGGCAAAACTATACAAGAACGCATCGGGAGATTTCCTGCATGGCTACATCACTGCGCACCACTGTCTCAGTATGCAAAAGGGATTATAGTTTATTTCTAAGATTTCGCTACCCCCATAGAAACTGTGAAATTTCTCAGGTTTTCGACCATCTTCTATGCTGAATCCACACGTTAGCTCGATTTTTCTTCTTATATATTTAGCATTTTACACTCCACTGCATTCCCAAAACGGAAGTTGTTAGTGTCATGCAGTTGCTTTCTGACTTTACTTACAACAATATATGCCTAAATGCATTAGAAAGTATTCGAATTTCTAAAAACGGCTCTTGACTCGGTCTCATTTCTGTCGCGGCGGCTTATTCAATCGCCTTTGATTTGCTTAAACTTATATTTTTTATTATCGTGCGTTTTTGTTCCCATACATTAGGTTATTTAAACAATTGCCCCTATTATTAACTACTTTTGTAAGCTGCATTTTTTATATTTTTTCTCACCCCTGATTTGCACTATTCCTCTAACCCCATATAATAACCGGTCCCGTATTACACAACCTGTTTTTGTTACTGTGGTATTTTTTATAAGTAATCCTTACTGGTAACCTCATTCAGATATATAACTGGACACCTGAAAATGTATCTGCTGTATTTGGGTATGTAATGAAACCTCCTGTAGAATAAGTGAGAAAGTCAACATATAGTGGATTCCATACCTCACAAAATTCTAAAATATATTTTTGCTTCGAAACTGTCCTTAATTGGGGTTAACATACTGTGATACCCAACCAAATTATATTTCAAGCACGTCAGGGCTCCGGTTTTGGAACGGAAGGCTTTCTGATAAAGAACAGAAAGTACATTCTGTAACAAGTAACTGCTTAAGTGCGATGCATCTTTCGCATTGATTTTCAAAGTTCATATAAATTCCAGCGAATTTCATAGAAAATACACACAAAGGTATTCTCCCTTGTATTCATCTAGTGGAATTCTGCAAATTCTATACTTTTATATAGGGTACCTTTCAGTTTTAAGTGGTTTCTAATTATAAATTCTTTGCGATCGTAAAATTTACCTTCCTAATATTTCTTATCTGTCAATTTATACTTGTTGCCCATGAAGTATGTTACATGATCCACATTAAATTTAGAATGTTATAAGCTTTATATGGAGCTTGCTCTACATGGTTGGAAAAGGTTTACTTTCGTTTGGACAGAATGTTACAGCACGTACTTTGGAAATCTTAAGTTAAAGTGTTACAAACGGTAGGGTTCAATTGTATATGGTTACTTAGTAGCCTTTAAAAAAACTCCAAGATATCCTTTCTTCAAATTTACGATTGAATGAAAACAGAGTCTGCAAGAAACTGGGAGCATGAAAGAACGTTGTTGTGCACGTTTTCTATGCAATATATTCGAATTTATAAGGACACCGAAGAGCAATGAGAGATTGAGTAATAAGCATGTAACCATGCATTACAGGGTTTACCTTTTGAATAACCTCCAAAATAAACTCGTTGAAAAGTCGAAATCCTGACGAGACTGAAATATCTTGAGTAAAGGCTATATGCTAATCAGCATTATAGCCCGACTTAATTATTATGTTTGAATTGACAACATATTTCAGAATTTCGCTTGAAATTGCAGGTGATACGGATAATATAGTACATAGAACTGGCTATTTCAAACAAACTAGAGGATTGGGGCGATTAAAGAGTACATTAGGCGTCCGAAGAGTTAGCCTTTGACCGACAAATAACTGACTCCTACGCAGTCGCAACCAGAGGGCGGCGTGACGGAGAATAGCTTTATATATCATCTTCGACAGATGAGGCCGAAGCATTGGTAACTGTGCTTGCAGGTGCCCTAATTAATTGGGGTTTTCAGCGCGCCTGACCGCACACGAAAGTGCCCAAACACGGCAGAAAGACACTGATGCTAGTTTTTCTCGTTACATGTATGATGTAGTTTGCATTCTGAAATGTTAAAATGAAGGGTAACTTCATCAGTAGATTTCGATGTTCCCAAGACTGTCTTTATATATAGGCTGAATGACATTACCGATAAGCAGAACGGATACAGGAATGGCCATTTATGTCTTGTTAGCCGTCAACAGCCAGCCATGCACAACCGCAGGTTTTGCGGCAGCTGAAGCTAAAACCCGAGACCTACATAGTAGCTGGAGGGCCAACGCTCTAGCCACTGCGCCATGGGTGTCCAAATAATTTATATCCACAGTCGACCATTAACAAATACAACAGTGTCAAACGCAACGGACGGAAGATTCTCAGTTATGCTAAGAAATCTTCGTCTATATTCTGCAACCGTGTTGTGCTTTTGCAATCTCTGAACAGGGATTTAAACCAAAAAAATTATACCGAAAACTGCTCCAATGCAAACAGAAAATCGATTTATTTCATTTTTAGGGAAGTCAAAAAATCGGTTAAACTTTTCCATTGCTGTATTGGCCTAACCTTCGAAAAAGGTAAAGTACACAGACATTCGACATCAAAATATCTAACAAAAGGGCTATTTCATGAGGTAGCTTCCCACTGAAAGATTTTAATAAGAAAATTTGAAGCAAGCGAAAACGGCAGAATAAATTTGTACAAATAAATTTCGGGAGAGCTTGTCAACTGATTCCTC